ACAACATCTTCAGAAACTGTGGCTGATCTGAAAAAACGCTCATGGACTAATCTCAACACCTCGATGTCAGATGCAAATGTAATCATGTTTTAACTGGGCTGCTGGTAGAGTTTTTTGATGTCTCAAATCATGTCCTGATAGACAAGATGTAAAAGATCTTTTTTGTAATACCACTATCTATCCTCGTGTTTCTCCCCCTTTTCCTATCAAAGATTATTATCTGATAAAGATAAAATGGCCGCGCTCTCCTGTAGTTGCAGCTTGGTGCACTCTGCCCATCTTTCGGACGACTGTACGTACATATTCGCTTTGTACCTTGGTGCAATTCCAATAAAGTTTATTCTAATTCTGATTCTGATTCTGAAAACACATCTCTTTAGACTCACTTATCCTTCTTAAATATTTTGTATATTTTATGTTCATTATGTATTTTATATCTCTATTTATTCCTGTTGATCTTTGCACTGTGCCTGTTGTTTGTTTTTACACAATCTTTCTGATGTGTTTCTTGCTGTAAATTGTCCTTGGGTGTCATGAAAGGTGCTTTTTAAATAAAATTATTATTATTATTATTTTTATTTTTTTTATTATTATTATTATTTAATTTGCTTTGAGGATGCTGATGGAGAAGTACAGAGAGGGTCAGAAAGAACTCCATTGTGTCTTTGTGGATTTAGAAAAAACATTTGACAGGGTGCCGAGGGAGGAGGTGTGGTATTGCATGAGGAAATCTGGAGTGGCAGAGAAGTATGTTGGACTGGTACAGGACATGTATGAAGACAGCAGGACAGTGGTGAGATGTTCTGCAGGAGTGACAGATAGCTTTGAGGGTGGACGTGGGATTGTATCAAGGATCGGCTCGGACCTCCTTCTTGTTTGCTCTGGTGATGGACCGACTAGCGGATGAGGTCAGGCAAGAATCCCTGCGCAGATGACATTGTGATTTGTGGTGAAAACAGGGAACAGGTGGAAGAGAGCTTGGAGAGGTGGAGGTATGCACTTGGAAGAAGAGGAATGAAAGTCAGCCATAGTAAGACAGAGTACATGTGTGTGAATGAGAGGGAGGAGGTGGAACAGTGAGGCTACAAGGAGCAGAGGTCACAAAGGTGCAGGACTTCAAGTACTTGGGGTCCACTGTCCAGGAAAATGGGGAGTGTGGTAAAGAAGTGAAAAAGACAGTAGCAGAAATGAAGATGTTGAGGTTCTCCTTAGGAGTGACAAGGATGGATAAGATTAAGAATGAGATCATCAGAGGTACAGCACAGGTTGAACAATTGAGAGATATAGTTAGAGGACACACTGAGGTGGATTGGACATGTCCAGAGGAGGGACAGTGGGTATATTGGTAGAAGGTTGTTAGAAATGCAGCTGCCAGGAAAAAGACAAAGAAAATATATATGGATGCAGTTAGAGAGGACATGGAGGTAGTTGGAGAGAGGACAGAGGATGCAGAGGACAGAGAGATGGAGGAGGATGACTCACTGTGGATACCACTAAAGAGGGAAAAGCCAAAAGAAGAAGATTTGTTTACCCTTTAGCAGTACTGTACAGTTATTAATTTTAGACACAACAATCTGAACTCTGGGGTCAAGAACTATTGAAAGGAAAACTGGATGTTAAGCACCCAGACAGATAGCTGTTTGTTTTTATTGTTTTTATATATATATATAAAACAATAAAGTTTATTAAATATTTTTTAACATGCATTCCTTTAAAATTTATTAAAAGCTTAATGACTTATTTCACTATTATATAACAATCAAAGGCAAAGCCACTTTTTATGCCAAGATTTTAAACAAAGTTCATGTTTCGAGAAATGAGTTATATTCATTTTGAACAAACCTTCAAAGTAATGTTATGTACAATCCAATGGCATATGGTGAGATGTCCTAGTCAGAGTGTGTTTTGTGGATGACACTCAGCTACAACAACAGATTTTAGCTGAATTTTGGAAAATTGACATTTTTATTAGTTTTTGTGTTTGCTAATTCCAGTTTGCTCTGGTGGCTCCCTTCAACAGGATTTATTCCAAAAGTTAATTGACTGTAAACATACATCCAATGATCATTACTTACAAATTAAATTGAAATCTATCCAATGATTCGTGATATATTTTACTAACAGACAAACAATGAGTCCACCACAGTTATTACTAATGTTTGACGCAAATATCTTGCAAAATGAATAACACCTGGAATAATTAATGTGAATGACTCTCAGCTGCTGTAATACAAACATTTAGGCCTGTCCCTGAAAATAATACTGAATTATAGACATTGTGTGTTTTCTAAAGTCAGTTGGGTGTGGCAACCAGAAGAAACACAGTTCTATGTGAAAGTTAGTTTTTTCCCCAGAAGTTTCATTAAAATCTGTGCAGTAGTTTATCTTATATGATAAAAGACAGGAAGGCTTGATTCTTTAAAAGGAAGTTCAGACTTTTAAAGGTCTGTGCAGTCTGTCAGCACAGGGACTATGTGTTGGAGATCAGACTCATACTGCACCAAAATGTAGGCACATGCACACAAGCTCAAACACACATGCATCCATCCCAGCTGTGGGCCTCACCTGTTATGGCATCCTGAATGACCGTGTTGTTGAGGTTTTCACACACCCATTCTCTGCAGCATTTTCCTGGCAGCCGGACGTATTGTGGGTTAGGACAGTCCGGACTGGGAAGCCTAACATTTAGAGGACAAGCTGGTACGCAGGTCACCCCTCCATCTCTGCACGTGCAGTGAGTATCACAGGAGGGCTGGAAGGACTGGCCCTCGGTGTAGGTTATGCCATTGAGCTCACAGCCCAGATCCTCCTGACCTGTAAGAGAAACACACACTGTTTTTGCTGAGCCTGCACCATGATGTGAAGTGATTCATGAGGAGAGATGGGAGGAAAGTGGTGCATGGCATATAAGAGATTGGAGGACTGCTAAATAGATGTTAACTGGTGTCCTAGAAGATCACTGACATGTCTTGTTTTCCTGCCTGTACAGTCTCTATGAATATTTATTGTCTGTGTGTCTCAGTCATACAAACATTTTTGTTCTACCCCTCTCACCGCCCACCCCTGCACACAACACCGCCCTCCCATACAATGAGTCCTCCACTCACTGACACACTCCCCGGGATCCCCAGGAAAGCTGGCACTGTAATCACACCGCAGTCCTTTCTGAGTGTCGCAGGGCAACATCTCAGTACAGGGCTCGCCTCGCTGCCGGGCACACACCTGGCAGCACCGGCAGCCATCCAGCACGGGCGAGACTCCTGCAAGGCACTGAGGGGCAGGACCAGGACAATGACAGGGTCTGTTGCACGGCTGGCACCGCACCTGGAGAGACAACATGCAGACAATAAGAACCTCTGATGAGGGAAGAAGACATGCATGTCCAAATACATGCTTAAAAATAATAAAGAAATAATCAGTTTGAAGAGTTTCAGTCAGGGTTTAGAGCTCATCATAGCACAGAAACAGTACTAGTAAAAGTCACTAATGATATTCTCATGGCCTCAGACAATGGACTTGTGTCTCTACTGGTCCTGTTGGACCTCAGTGCTGCATTTGATGCAGTTGATCACAATATTTTACTACAGAGGCTTGAATATGATGTTGGGATTACAGGAACAGCTCTAAAATGGTCTAAATCATATCTATCTGATAGATTCCAGTTTGTAAATGTAAATAATAAATCTTCTTCATACACCAAAGTTAGTCAGGGAGTTCCCCAGGGCTCAGTGCTTGGACCAATACTCTTTACTTTATATATGCTTCCATTAGGTAAAGTTATTAAACAGCATGGGACAAATTTTCTTTGTTATGCTGATGACACACAATTATATTTGTCCATTAAACCCAATGAATCCAATCAGCTACTTAGACTACAAGCATGTCAAAGACATAAAAACCTGGATGACTCTTAATTTTCTCCTTTTGAACAGACAAGACTGAGGTTTTGGTTTTTGGACCTGAGCCCCTTAGGAATTAATTTTTCAGTCTTTCTCCTCCTTAGATGCATTAATCTGTCCTCCAGCTCTAATGGTAAAAATCTTGGTGTTATTTTTGATCAGGACATGTCTTTTATCCCCCACATTAAAAACGTTACCAGAACCTTCTTCTTCCACCTGCGTAATATCACTAACATTAGAAACATCTGATCTAAAAATGATGCAGAAAAACTGGTCCATGCATTTGTCACGTCTAGACTGAACTATTGAAATGGTTTATTATCTGGATGTCCAAATACTTCTTTAAAACGTCTTCAGTTGATCCAAAATGTAGGATGAAGTTCAACAATTTTGTTGTGTTGATATGTATTTATGATTGGTTCAGTAAAGAAAGCAGATAAAGTGTTTTGTTTACACTGATTGTGTAGCTGTATTTCAGAATTGAATATCAATATAAAACAAACTACTGCAGTAAAAATTATTTAAAACAATCCTTTCAAACTGGACCTTATGTTATAGTTCAGGGTAACATTTTCATCTTTGATTTTTAAAGTTTGCAATGAATATCTTTTTGAAAAAGTATGTAATTTTGGATCTTTTACAGTAATGTGTTCATCAGGATGATAGCTTTGTTCATTCCTCTCAATCTTAATTTCAAATCCCTGTTTGTTAGATTTTTTTCGGCTGCTCCCCTTTTCAGAGGTCACCTCTGTAAGCAAACTTGCATGAAATATTTGGCAATTTGTTTAACACCGGATGCCCTTCTTGATGCAACCTGGGCTTGAACCTGCAACCTCAGGACTATAAGCCCACCGAGCTACCGCAGCCCCTATAGGCTACCTCTGTTTGAGTTCATAAATAAACACAAAGAATGAAATATTTAAAATTTATGAATGAATTGTATGCGTTCATATTTTCCACCTTCTTCAGGTAGTTATGTACCTTCAAAGAGGAAAGTTAAAAACACTGGAAATGGCTCATTCTCAGTCACATAATTGAGAAATAACAAAATAATCAGCAGTTCTCACCTGAGTAGCCACAAACAGCAGTACAACCAACATCATCACGCAGACACACACTCGGTCCATGAGCGGGGATTATGTTGTTGATGGAGCTCAGTCTGTCTCGAACCTGCGTAAAGGAGCAGTGCAGCCAGTGAAGCTGTTTGCTAACTGCTCATTCATGTGCCTGCTGACATTTAAAAAGTCTGGACTCTGATGTCACGGGCTGACTGCAGTGTAAACAGCCACTGGTCCAGCATCAGAAATGTTTCACATTCCTCCTCCCTGCTGCCCATTTCCACTTCCAAACACACACACACACACACACACACACACACACACACACCCTCCTCTCCCTTTCTTTCCAGACTTGTGGCAGAATGAGTTTGCACAGCTCTACATAAACTAAGGGATGAAAATTACGTCAGACTAAACTGTGTCATGGTCAGCGGCCCCCGCTGCCCCCCCATCTGCCAAGCCTCTGCCACCTCCTTCAAGCTGCAACCAGAAACCAACATTTATATCTTTAAACTATCATCCCACAGTCTTAATCATTTCCTTCTATTTTCAAGTTTCTGTCTCTGTCTGCTTTTTATATTTTTTATTGTTCTGCTTTGTGTGTGATTTTCTGTTTATCTGTTTCTGTTATGTTCCTCTCATTCCTCAGTCTGCTTCTCCACTCAGTCTTTATCATTCACACCTGTCCCTCATCAGCCACTTGCCCAGGTGCTCTCATTACTAACTCTCCCTCTGTCACATAAAAAGCCTTTCTTTCCTTCACTCCTTGTCCGGTGATTGTTCTATGTTCTCAGACTTCACAATCCTCTTCTGCCTTGCCTGGTTTCTGCCCCCCTGATGATCTGCTCTGCATTATTTCTGATCCAATCTGCCAAAAGTAAGTTTTGCTGCACCGACAGCCTTTTGTTTTGTTGTTAAAAAAATAAATTGTTTTGGTTTTTGAACTCCTGCCTCACTCATCTCTCTGCAATTGGGTTCCAACATTGAGGATCGTGACAAAACTGTGTTCAAATTAATTAATACTGGGGCTTTAGTGGTGACATACGTGTGGTTCAAGTAAAAATCTGTGGCTGATTTTGCAGCATGCTGATCAGTTACACTTATTATTTCACTTTTTGATTAAATAAAAAAAAAAACCTCTAACCAGAATATATATACAGTATATGTATGTATGTATGTATGTATGTATGTATGTGTGTGTATATATATATATGTATATGTATATGTATATGTATATATATATGTATGTATATATATATGTATGTATATATATATATATATGTATATATATATGTATATATATATGTATATATATATATATACTCTTTTGTATTTAATGATTAGTTAATTTTTAGGCTTCTTGATCTGGGACCTGAGTAAGAACTTTGCACCATAATATTCAAATGTGAGCTGATATGACAATAAAAGAAACTTGAATCCATGAAAACAGTTCGCCCACTGTTAACATGTCTTGATTACATTATTAGGACATAGATGGCTTCAATTTTGTCTTGTTTTAACGACCAAATAACTCAAGTTATTGTGTTTAGCCTTATCCCTACTGCTGTCTCTGTTCCTTTAAACTTTGACTTGATGTCACTAATCTCAGGATGGTTTTAGACCCTGATTTTAAGATTAATAAACAGATTAACTCAGTTCTGCAGAAAAGTTTCTTCCACTTAGAGCAGATTGCTAAACTTGTCAGTGTTGACCAGACCTGACCTGGATAAAATAGTCCATGCCTTCATTTCAACCCGACTAGACAACTGTAACGTGCTTTAAAGGGGGGGTCAGTCAGGTCTCCCCTTCACGTCTCCAAATCATCCAAAATGCTGCAGCTCGGTGTAGTGAACTTGATCTGATGTCAAATCTGACCAGATGGACAGAAACTGTTATTTCATTGATCTGCATCCAGAAATACAGTTTGACCCATCCTGAGACTTTCTTTCTTGAATTAATCAAGTAGAAAAGACAATTCTCTATGATTACTATTTTACAAATGTTTGATAATCAAATTGTGTTAGTTCACTCAATGTTTACAGGTTGAAGAGAACTACTCATTTTTATTTACATAAACAGTAAGTAATGATTTTTATTCCTCATTCTAAGAAGAAATCAGGTTAATATGCATTTCTTGATTTTTCTGTCTTCAATGAGCAAGTTTTGTAAGTGTGTTAAGGTTCAAGTTTCGGTCAACTAAAAGTTTACTGAAAAAGAAATGTCATGTTTAACTTTTACAGAAGATACAGGAGAGTTTGACTCCACGAAGTCTGGTTTTCTCCAATAATCTTTCTGTCTGTTTTAAACAAACTTAATCTCTGTCCTTGACTTTGATAACACCTTACATCACAAACCACACCTCTTTTCTGGTCCATCGACCAATTAGAAAGCTCTCAAATGAACCGGAAGTCGACCCATTTAAATGTGGCAACTTCCCAGTTCAGTGGCTGCTGCTGCGCTCTAGAATGAGTTCAACATGGGAGTTTTCAGAGCTTGAAAGTTTTTCCTGGAGAAGAGTTCCAGACTTTAACTCTCTGAAGAGAGTTAAAGAGTTCAGAGTTCTTGGATGCTAACGCAGGCGTCCAGAATGCTTCTATTGGAAGCCAGAATGCAGGGACGATTTTGGGAATTATAACTTCTGTTTGGATAACCTCGCACGACTCTCGAAGTATTTTAGCTGTTCTCAACGGAGACGCTGAAAGAGTCAAAGGAAGGATTCTATACCGACGCTGACCTATCGTCAACCAGGTAAAAGTTCTACTTCGACCAAGCGTACCGTGACCAAGCTGAGAACTGAAGGAGCGTGCACGTTTCTGGTCAAACAGATTAATTCCCTCACACATCTCTCTGTAAGATAAATCTCCATTTTCCATCTTAAACTCTCCTTTCTCCTAAAATCATTACAGATATTTTAGAAATATCTGAAGCAAAGTTCTCAATCACCGTCGTGTGATTGATGTCTGCTGTTCTGCTGAGAAGTGAGGACAATCGCCGTATTGTGCCCACTTTCTGTGAAACTAGCCATGTTATTGTTTTCATATTTTGCCAAATTCATGTAAATGTGTGATGTTAAACTTTGATTCTGCAAATAAATGACCGCATTCATTTTGATGGGTCAAAGGTAAATAACGTCTCTCGTTACATTTCTGTTAAACTCAATGCACGACATTTACACAATCAGAAAAATGAAGAACTCGCGAAATGTATGAATATATCCTGCATATGTCATACTACATCGGCTTTTAACAGGAACTTGTATGTTTGAGCACATTTCACCAGTTTTATCCTCCCTTCACTGGCTCCCTGTACGTAACAGAATCCATCCATCCATTTTCTTTACCCGCTTGTTCCATTTTGGGTCACGGGGGTCGCTGGTGCCCATGTCCAGCAATCAATGTGCGAGGGGCGGGGTACACCCTGGACGGGTTGCAAGTCCATCACAGGGACACGTAACAGAACGTAACAGAATAGTTTTAAAAATCCTGCTGTTGGTTCTAGAATTGCGCCGCTGCAGGTGGCTGCATGTTGGAGCAGCTCTGTTACTTTCATTCTGAGAATTTTCTTTTGGAAACTTTAATTCCTCTTTTTCTGGATGTAAATCACATTTTTTGGATGATTGTTTCCTCTGGTATCAGATGCTGAGCAGCTGGAAGGATTTTTACAGAAACTTTTTTAGTTTTGGACATTTGTTATGATGCGTAACCATGGCAACAAGGCAGTTTTCTACAACCAACAGCAGCTGATTAACATCTCAAAAGCTCAAATAATATCTCAACTACAGCCCCAAATCTCAAATGAGGTGAAAGGATGTTCTCTGGATGCATTCTCATCTACCTGCCAGCTGTGCTCAAGTGCCTGACCACTGAGATCCTGGAACTAGCAGGAAACACGGCTCATGACAGCAGAAGGACAGGATCGTACATCAGCACCTACAGTTGGCTGTCCGTGGCAACGAGGAGCTCAGCAGACTGCTGGGAGGAGTGGCCATCGCTCTGGGAGGAGTTCTGCCTGGCATTCGGGTGGTCCTACAGCCCGGGGGAACCGAGAGGCCAGCTGAGTCTGGTTGGACGGATCGGACGGCATCTGCAGCCAGTTTCTTAGGATCCACTGCGGGATGGACCTTTACAAGAGATCCTTCCTGTCTACAGCCATCAGTATCTAGAACATCTCTTAATGAAATAAGGGTAACAAGCTACAACAACAAATAATTTCCCTCTGGGATTAATAAAGTATTTTTGAATTGAATTGATATGAATTTAAGTGTCTAAATGGCCTTGCACCCTCAACGCTCTCTGAGCTTCAACCATGTGTTTCTTCTCGGGTGCTGAGATCAACTGATCAGCTGCTTTTGGTTGTACCAACAACCAGTTTGAAGCTCAGAGGAGATCAGGCTTTTTCAGTCGTGGGCCCTAAACTCTGGAACAATCTGCCCCTCAACATTAGACAGGACACTTCACTTCCTGTTTTTAAATCTCTTTTATAAACACATCTGTTTTCTTTGGTGTTTAACACAGAGTGATTTAATTTAGTATTTTATTGTTCTGTGTTTTATTTTTCTTATGATGCTCTTTATTAATTTTTGTTGTTATTTTTCTTTAAATTGCCACCATTGATTTTTATTGTTAAGCACTTTGGTAACAGCTGCTGTTTTTAAATGTGCTTCATAAATAAATCTGACTTGACAGTAAAGGCCAAACTGTTAAAGACTTCTTCCTTTAAGAAAGAAAGCCACGTGCAAGGTAGGAGTTAGATGAGCAACAGAGTGTGAGGAACATTCTTAAAATTAAGAATGGGGTGGGGGGGGGGGTGGGGGGGCTGTGACTGAGTGGTTAGAGCAGTCATCCTCCAATGCAAGAGTTGGGGGTTCAAATCCATCAGCAGTCACATGCTCAAGTGTCCCTGGGCAAGACACTGAAACCCCTCTTTACCTCTGATGTGTGTCCCATCAGTGTATGAATTTGATCTAAAGCTCTGATTAGTCTCTAGAATGATTTGTTCAATTATCTTTGTAGAGATCTAGTATAGAGCTGTATGAATGGGTAAATGAGGCACAGATTGTTGTGTAAAGT